AGGTATTAGCAAGCAAAAGTATTTGCTTTTAAATTTGTTTTTATGTATTTCAAGAAATAAAATGCAATAAAGCCAGAAGACATTTTAGTTTCACACAAAAACCAATAATTTTGCCTCAAGTAAGTTTAAGAATTAAGAAAAGGTATATAATACTAAAAAATGTTTGCACCATCTTAAAGAACTGAAATGGTTTCTTCCAGTTAAAACTGCAACAACCACAAAACCCCCTGTACCCTATGTTTTTCCAAGATGCATTTCTTTTGCTCTTCCAGTTCAAAATACATTAGTTCTCAAAGGCAGGAAAAAAAAGTTTCTAGCAACCTATAAAAATAAGTCAACAATACAATTAAGACACCTTACCTTTCAGTCCAAATAAACCTGATATGAATCACTTTTCAGGTAGGAGCCCATACCCCCGTGTTCACACACAATAGAAGTCAGCAGGTACTATTCTGTTACTTTTATCCTTCAAAAGCCACACCCACCCAATTAAGAAAAAAAGCACCTGCAAAAGATCTCTGATGTGGCACTTTAGATTTTGATTGATCTCTCTCACCACAGTATTATAAGACTAACGAGATCTTGCTTTTCCTTCATCCCTTTCCATCCTGATTCCACCTAAGTCCTGCACATGGTCATGACTTGGGACATGCAGACCCTGGCAAACTTGGTTGTTAGACACCCCCAAAATTTTGAGCAATTTTCAGTTACTCAAACACCTCCCAAATTCAAAGGAAAGGAGGTTCCAAATTCTATTCACCTGTTTGAAGTACTTCTGTTCTGGGGGTCATTTGGTTGTTATCTGAAACACATGTGTGTACGGAAAAGACCAGAATTTCTCCAACGTTGTTTTGTTTCTCATAGAAGAGAGGGAGAGAAAGGTTATTAGCACATTGATGGTTTAGATACACATTTAGCAAAAATGTTTTTGTGTGGGAAAGTCTACAATGGGAGTGTTTCAGATCCATATTAGTGTCAGTGTGTCCACAGGCCTGCAACCTGTTTGCTATTGATGCATACAGATAAAAGTGAAGGTTTTGTAATGCTTGCCCAGGAAAAAGGAGGAAATTCTTTTGAGGAAAGGTCTTAGATTCAAATTTCACGTTGGACTGGTGATCATCTGAAGAATAAAGTCAAACATGACAGCCCAAAAGGAAACAGAGAACATAAGCAGAGGGCAGTTCATCCATCCAACAGTCATGGACCTCTTCCCTTGGGAGTGAAAGGGGGAAAACTACAGTGAGAAAAAAAGACCAAAATTCAGCTGCAATTCAGTAATGGGGAGTCAAACTTCATACCTTTGGTATCATCATTCAGTTTTTATTGGAAAGTTATTTGAGCTTGAATGAACACCTTCCTTGGAAATGAAAACACAAATGAATAAAACCCATTAAAAAGATTGCAGAAACGCAGTAGTGCCCCTGAAAAATTCCTGATATCAAGCTTACTTGATATGCTTTTTTATTCTTAAAAGTAACTGAATTTGACTTATATGTGTCTATTTATGAAATAAGCAGAGGCTCACAGTTTGGAGAAAATACAGAAATGTCATTTTTACTACATTTTCACTGGCAAAATTTAAGTGTATGAATTTATATAATAGAAAAAAAAAAACTATTTGAGAACATTGAGAGGCAGTACTGGAATGAGTAAAAGTGAACTAGTGAAACAATCAAAGAACTAAAAATCAAAGCTGTACTTATCAAATTTGTATCCTAGCCTCCAAATTATCAAGAGTCACCTTCTTACATATTGAAAACTCAGAATGTTCTCAGAAGGGAAGATTAACCTTTCCAAAACTCAAATAATCTTGCAAATTGAGAACCTTAGTGCTTGGCTGTCTTTCATAGAAAGATATATTGGGTACTGAGATGGGCACATGTTTATAGTGATACTCTGTGTAATATATAATGTCTCTAAGCTTTGCTAATTGAATGTGTGATAAATGTGTATATGCACCCTCTTGGTCTTTATATACATATGTAAAAAGAATAAGTACATGGATATATAAACACTCACACATGCATGGAAATACTCTTAGAAGTTGTGTAATTCTTGGAATTCTTGCTTAGACCAGATTTCTTTGAAAAAAAAGTAGGCAAAAGAAATGTACTGCTAAAGAGTGTGAAGCATATTTCTTCAGATGTACTCTAAATCTTACTGGTAATCTGTGTGGTAAAGTTATTTAATAATCATAATCACTGTGAAAAATGTCAGTTTCTGTACAGATTTGTTGGTGTGCATGCATTAAGCAAACAGACCAGAGGTGTGTTTAAAAACAGTGCTTCTCCAGAAGGTATACAAATATAATCTTCAAACAAAATTTATTTTAGAAATAGATAAATAAGACATAAAAGGAACAGTGCTCAGTAATTCAATATGAAAGCAAAAATATATATTAAAATTATTTGTTAAAAAGATTTTACAAATAATACTTAAGACCAGGATATACCATAAATATATGTTTTATGGTAAAATGAGAAATCACTGAAAATGTGTAACAAAAAAACCCTGCAGCATTACATTTTATGTTAAAAATATAATTCTATTTACATCACAAACCAGCTTTGTTCCTGACAGCACTTTACTGCCCTTCAGAAGTCCCCCACTCAATTAAATTTAGAAGGATTTCAATCCCCCAAAGTCCAAGCTATTATCTGATATGACAGGCAGTTCTCACACAAACTGCCACGGCTTTTCCTGGGAGTGACTCCCTGGCTATCAGGTGTTTGAGGTCAGTGGTGTGGAGCTTTGGTAGACACACATCCAGGTGAAATCCAGGCATTGCCAACGTGGCACTGGATGCACAACAGCACATCTGGGAGCCAGCTCTGGCTGCTGGCGTTGGAGGGCTAAAAGCAGTGGTGTGATCAGTCTGCTCTGTAAAACTGGCAGCAAATAAAGGAGTTCTCTCTTTGCTGAGACAACTGGAACCAAGCAAAAGTACACTCTGGGGCTTTATATATAGACACTGACCTGTCTGATTTATCTGGCAATGCACACCAGACAAAGGGTGAATTTCTTGAGAAGTTCACTGAGGTGACTGGAATATTACAGTCTAAAGTATAATAAAATAACTTACTGATATTCCAAGGAAAATATATTGAGTTTTCAATTTCAAAAGCAACATTTGGTCAACTCAGTGATTTTTGCTTTTAAGTTACTCTGACTTCTATACAGTGAGAAAACAATATTTCTGTAGGTGAAAACAGTTGGGAAATGGTTTTGAAACACATACACCTAGCTTTGACTCAGGATGCTAATACTATTAAAAAAAAAAATAGAAATTTTTGTCTGGTCTTCATCACAGAAAAGTGTAGAAAATGATGTTCAGCACACAGACAATATTTGGTCAGTACTCATTAGGCTTTCATGAGACTTTCATGAACCCATTCAACCATGAGGAGGAAATGAGCTCTGAACAAGTTTTATACCACTCTCTGAAAAAATGGCTTTTTAAAAACTGATATTTAAATGCAAGAAAACAAAAATTGAAACAGAGGAAACATCTGAAACCAAATGACTTCAGAGGTTTTTGATTTTCCCTTAGTGCATTTGGAGGGTAATGATATTTGGCTGTGCTGACTCATCAGAGAACCAGAGAAGAGAGATTATTGATTTGGACCAATAAGCCATATGACGCACCTTTATTTCCTTCATGTAACTTTTTTAAATTTTAAAATCATCCTAGATTGTTTTATAAATCTTTATTGGTAGACTAGAATGATAGGACCAGTGTAATAATAGGAAAAAGTTAGAGCTCTGGCAAAAGAACTAGAAATTTCATGAAGTATACTCTTCTCTGAAAGCACATGACTGGCACATCTGGTACAAGAAAGGTACTTGTCAAAGGTTTTCCTCATACTCAGTGCAAGAAAGTATAGGCACTTTTAGTGGGTGTGCAGTCCTAAGATCAAAATAACCTCCTATAGTCTATCTATGACTTTTACCACCAGAGAAAAAACTGAGGGCAACTATATTTTCACTTGATATAACTAAATTAATGGCCAGTCTCTTCGCGAACGAAGAACCGGGGAAGGTCTTTCCACCTTCCAGCCTGCGCATTGGATTTTTTTTTTTTTTAGGTGAGACACAGTGTGCGCGGAACTGAGCCCACCCTTTAATCCTGAGGTTCATCTGCCGGGGCCAAGCACGCTTGGACGGTGGCAGCGAGGTCCTCAGGACGTAGATGGATTGCCTTACGGGCTAACGAGCTCCATCTGCCCGGGGAGGGGCCCCGACCGGGAATCGAACCCGGATCTCTGCAGTGACAGTGCAGTGAATTTTCCCCTGGACCACCGGGGGCTCCCAATAACTAAATTACATGCTTGAGGTTAGATCAGATTAACCCAGTCAGAGATCTCCACTCAGTATCCCCTGATTTAAAAATAAAGAAAAAAAAAATTTCAACTGAAGCATTGAAATTATTTCATGCGTCTCTTAATCAAACATTAATTTTATGTATAGGAGTTTTCTCATCATGGAAATCCAATCAAATTCTCATAAGAACAGAAATCCAAAGTTTCAAAGAAAAAAACAGAAGCTCAAAGTGCATGAAATCACAGTCTGCCTGACAAACAACTCTACAAGGCCAAAGGGTTATTACTTATAAACATCACTGAATGCTTCCCATCACCCACCTATGAAACACCTACACAAACAACTGGAATAGAAATAGGCAGGACCAATCTTGGTTACACTCAAAAACACTTATTGAATGTGCCATGTTCCTTGCTATGTTAGGGATGAACTTTCAGCTGGCTGAATTGTGGCACTGAGTCAATAAATATCACTACTGTATGTCTAACCACTGAAAGTGTTGGGGTTTTTAGTTTGAAGCATAAATGCTGCAAGGCTAAGATAAATAAGAACAGCAAAACTGTCTTACAGATACATGAACTTCTTCCCAAGAAAATGATTTCATTACTGGAAATGAAAGATTCTCTGTAACAGTCATATCTATAATTATGCAATACAATATGCTAAATTACAATACGTACTTCATTATTAATAGAATTTATTTTACAGATCAAATAGTCAAATACACATTTTTTCAAAAGAGCCAGATAGCAAATGTGGAGCAAACTATAGGCAACAGTCATGGTAGACATTCTGCAGTCCAAGAACTGAGGCAACGTGATTATTAAGTACAAGCCTATAAATATCTTTACATCAAACATACAGTAATGTGTAAGAATTCCATGTTGTAGTCTAATTCATGAATCATTAATAACTTTTTCTTTAAAAGGAAGTTATATATGCTGTATACATCCCAGTTAAAAGCAGTGTCTGTATTTCATTTTATTCTAGCAAACTAATATTACATGTCTTCATATAAGTGCAGAAAACAGGGTTCTTTATACTCCTTTGCTTTCTAAGAGATTTTGCATTGCATATGAAATTCTAATATTATAGATGATACATATTAAGCATTACTCCCTAAAATGTGAGGCAATATACAAGAACTTGCAACCAACCTGCAAACAAAGCTATGATACTTGAATTTTATTCTTTAAATGAGCCCTGCTAAATAACAAATTATAATGTAAAAAAACCTTTAATTTTAAAAAAGATTGACTATATAGAGGAATAATGTGGGGAAAAAAACCAAACAACAGTAGGCCCTTTTTTCCACCCCATGTGCTGGCTAACAGTGACAAAATTACATATGCTTTTTCCTATTTTATGACACTGAAAACCAAGCCACTGGATTTATTACTTCTTTTTTTTTTTTTTTTTCTAATTAAGTAAAAATACTTTAAAAGGTTAAATGTTTGGCACCTGTTACACAGACGTTATGCAGACTTCAGCAAGCAAAATGCAAATTAAATTTTCTTTTTAAAAGTTACGTGAATGCTTTCCAGATATTTAAAAGGTGACCATTTATTACAAAATGTGGATAAGAAAGCAGGAATTACCGGTTTTTCACTACTACTATTGTGCCTATAAAATGAGAAAGCAGTGACTTGATCAATTCTATTTATGATCCATAGCAGCAATATAATCATTAAAAATATTATGGAATAGATATAAATAACACTTAATTCTTAACATGTATAATGGTGCTATAAGTGACAATAACTCATTTGTTTTTCTTTTAAATGCAGGGAGTATAAAGAACTTTACATTCTCTTTTAAACATATGAATAAAATTTATTGCTCCCTTTTAATATATTTATAGAAACAAAATTCCTAATTGTTTCAACTAAAATAAATAAGGAAAAATAATCTGGGACAAGAAGATGATTACAAGCAAAATAAATTTACCATAATCACCAAGTGTGAAGAAGGATGGGTCACATTACTTTTTTCTTAGCAAAACTACGTTATAGAACACTATAGCACAACGTACTAAAATTTCTTTGTCTTTTCTTTTTTAAAAAATTCTTGCCCTTGATACCTTTCAGTAGGGCAGCTTGAACAGTTCATCGTCACTTCCAAACCCCTCTGGAGATCAGACGATAAATGTCTTCGGCAATCAGAGACAGGACAAAGGGCTTTCTCGTGCTATTTCCTTGTTTTCATATTTGCTGGCTTAACATCATTGTGTACACGTACGACTTCAGTACATAACATCAGCTGCGATGGCGTTCAGAGCTGGCAAACAGAGAAACAGCATGAGAAAAGCCCTTTCCTGCAGCATTTTCCCCACAAATTGTCAAGTTTGTTCTCCAAGTTTCTAACCACCGTACGGTTTGAGGTGTGCTGAGCTACTGAGATTCTAAGTAACCAACCGACCTTTTTTTGGTGCGTGTGTGTTTTCAGCTTTCTAAGCACTAGCAAAGATCTGCACACATCTAAATACACATGGCAAAAAGGTTGGAACAGAAGGAGCCACACAAATAGCTTCTGTGTAATTATTCTAAGTTTCTTACTACATTTTTTTCTTTACCAACTCAAACCCCAAATTGCTGTTGCAAGATTAGGGCTATCAGAAGACTACTGTGCTACCTAGAACACGTTCTACAGGGTTTTTGTAGGCTTCATTCAAAAGCATCGTTCCTAAAACCATAAAACACTTTCATTTGAGGAATTATTTTGCATCTTTTATCTATATTTATCATCAACAGAGTTAGTCCTAAAAATTCACAGAAAATCAGCCATTCTGATCAATCATTTCAGAGAAAAGAAAGCACTATCAATACCACGGTCATCAAGACACCAGCCACTCACTGGTCAGGAAATTGCTATCAACTGCAGATTATTGAGTGCAATACCTTCTGGGAGAAAACAGGAAAATAAACAAGTGTGAAAATTAAACCACAGTCAAATCAGACTTCATCACTGGCAATAGTTTATAGCTATAAGACATTTCAAATCACACAGCTAGGTCACAAGGAGGAAAGAGTAAACTTTTCAGTTATCTCACTGAAAAAAATGAGGTAAAATGCACTTAAAGTTTGAAAAATTATGTAACTACTACCCCAAGGCAAGCACCTACTGCAGAAAGAGTTGTGTGCCATTTCAGCTTACATAAAAATCACTCAGTTATTAATGCTGGAACTTCATCTACCAACCTCAGTATAAACTCAGTCCATGAGTTCTTAGTGGAGGGAAAAAGTGCCTTTGTTTTCTCTAGTGAAGTATCATACTCAAAATATTTCATATTTTCCTCACATTTTTTAAGTGCTCTGTTTTTGCTTTCTACTATGAGGCAAAGGGAACACTTTACAGACACTTTCCCTCTTGCTTTTCTAGTGAAAGATATTAAAAGGACAACTCTGAGGAAGATTTTCTTCAAAGTGTTGCACAGAGGAAAAGCATTTTCTTGACCAGCTGTTTTTCAGTAGTGATGCACATTTAAGTAACTGGTCTCTAACTTTTGACTCACAGACTTCAATTTATATTTCAGTTAGAAATCTCTTCTCCAGATGAAAATTTCAGGGGTTTTTCTGAAATGTGTATAAATGGCAGCAGATTAGAATTACCAGCTAAATTACCAGTCAGAAAATAAGGATAAAATAATGAGAATATTTAGGATCAGCATAATCAATTTTGAGATGGCTCTTAGGAAGGGCTTATACCAACAGCTATGTAGCTGATATTTAGAAGAAAATGTTTTTTGAGTGTAATTGACTCTGTCAATGCAAAATACCAGTGTTATGTCAATAGCCTTTTACATCCAGAAGCATCAGCCCTGCCTCCTGATGATTACAGGATACTGAATAAATTCACTGTCTCATTGTTATTACAGAAAACAATAAATCCTGCAGCTAAAGATTCACAGAACATGTGAGTTTTCAGAGCTATTACTTTCAGGAACAGTGCAATATTCTTTCAATTCATATCCTAAGTACACTTTTCTCATAGTGAGTGGGAAGCTATAATGACATTTCACCACATTTTAAATCAGAAAACCAAATATACCATAACTCTAAGCAGGTCTAAGCAGCCAGTGATAGAATCAGAGAACTGAGACAGTGGGGCCCCAAAATGCAATGTATTTTAAATGAGGTCTACTTCCCGTTCAGATTTCTGTGAAGAACATAATGTCTATCTCCAGTGCAGCAGAGATCACTGTGTCATCTGAATTTTCTATTCATAAGTATGGATAAGTTCACAGATGGAATCCTGCCAGCTCAAATCTACTAATGAAGATTTGCATTAGTAAATATGAGAAAAATCAATCTGCATGCCTCTTTCCTCCCTCAGCAACCTCCCAGACATGGCACTAGCAGTGGAACTAAATTAACACACAGACCAGAGTCCTGTGTGAAGCAGGGAGAACCACCAAAAACCTGTGGAATCATAGACTGAGAGTGCCACTGCACCTTCCAGCTCTACCAGTGGAAGAAGTGTTGCTTTCCTGGACACTGGCACTTCTTCAATAACACTAAGCCAGAAAAAAACATGTTCTGAAGTTAAAAGTTTAAAATGACCATCCAAAAGATCTCAGAGCCCCTCCTGAGTGACCAGGTATAAATTTTCAAAGATTTCTCCTGTTCCTGTAGTATGCATTGTATTATTTCCAAATGAAAAGAACATCTGAAATAGCAATAATTTAAAGAAAGATACGAGAAGAAGGAGAATGCATGGGAAGTTTTAATGAATCTTTGTACCTGTATCTTCTTTGAACCAAGCTGCCACAGATAGCACTGTGCTCTATAATTATGCATGTTTTGACTAGACAGGCTGATACCTAGACAGGCATTTGAATTGTCTGAATGTCGATTTAAGTACTTGAGAAAAGATTTCAGATTTTGAAATTGTGTTACATGAAAACTAGACTGGAAAAAAACCTCCTCTCCCTTCTTTTCATCATCACTGTGCAAATGTAAAGAGAATTAGAAGATTTCTGTCACTGTGGAATACTTCAATCAGTTTGCTCCCACTGAGGTAAATGTCAAAAATAACTGATCTTTTACAAAGCTTGCAGATAAATAAACCTTTAGGGTGCTGTTTCTTCACCAAAGAAATACATATTTTTTGTGAGTCCCACAACTACTAAAAGAATGGAAATCTGATGACATGGAAAGTCAGTTTGATTTTTATAAAACTCCAGTTTGAAAAACCTTATTATGAATAAGCCCCTTCACAGTTTATCACTTGGTAAAACCTCATTAAAAGAATTATCTCTACCACATCTCAAAACAAAACATGCTACTCTGAAGGTCTATTGTACTAGCATTTATTAATTCCTATGGAGTAACTTCAAATAATTATCAGTGCCCCTTGCCCTTCCTCACAAACACACCAGAAGCTTGACCTTTCTTAGGGGATATTGCATTAAGACCTCTTAGTTTCCTGTAGCTCACAATTCAATGTGTCCTCAGCTGCTTCAGAAGTCTCCAATTCCTTCTCCATAAAAATTTCAGCTGTGGCACTACTGTATTTATTTGCCCACATGACCACTAACGAGATATTTTGGGGTTTTTTAGTAGAAAAACCTTTCCATCTTTGCTTTCATGCTTTTTGAGTACAACTGTTATAATGACTTTCTGTCATTTTATAGATCACTTAGACAAATTTAGCAGCAAAGCAAAGACATAATTTCCTTTCTTTAAAGACCTGAATCAATACCATTCAGACAGATACAAAATTTAGAGCTTTGGAAGAAAACATATATTTTTAGCTGTAACTCAATATCATTTCAAATATCAGAGTAGAAAGTCTTGCATGGACAAAACTAACAATAGAATGTTCAGGTGTGTAGTCTGCTAATATCAGCCCCCACTAGAAACTGAAGAGATACTTCTTTAGGCTCCTCCAGAGAACCTTTGGCTTATAAAAGGGCTGCACTGTGGTAATTATTAGCATTAAAGTACAATATTTTCTCTCAGATCTTATTTTCACTTTTCAAACTGGCACATCTCCCTTTTTAACTGAACTTACTGTCCTTCAGTTCTCCAGCTTGTCCTACAGTTTTCTGAAAATTCAGAGAGTGTGTGACACAAAATCATCATTAACCACAAACATCCTGTTGATCTCCAAGCCTGAAGGGTGGCAGGACAGCACAACAGCTGGAACACTGAGCCACAAGCTTATTTTTATTTGTATTTGTTTCTTTTCTTTTTACTGGCTAACAGTGACAACTCTCAATTAACCTGTCCTGAGTCACCTTCTATAACCCCGCAGGAGATAAAACTATCCAGACTACAACACAGAGAGAGCCAGGTTAGGAGTAAGATAGACTTTTAAAAGATCCTTTGAGGTTTAAGAAATTCTTTACTTGTTTTTACTTATCATGAAATAAAGTTTTCATTTTGCCACAGTCCAACACAAAGGATTTCCTCTAATGGACTCTCTTACCTAATTTATATAAATAAATACATTCATGAAATTACTTCTATTTAAATAATTAAAATTTAAATTCTTGTGTTTAATGGTAAATGTTGTTTGCAAATTAGTGTAAAGCCATTGACAGTGATTAGTTACACTTTCTCCAAGAAGGTGATCACTTTCATGCAGAAAAATATACCTAAAGGAAGGATAACTGTAATTTCAGCCAAATCAGAAAAAAATGGTAACATTAATCTCTTTTTTTATATATTCAGCATATCACACTAACCATGTCAGGTTCAGCTATACAGAGATAAGCTAATATCAGGTACTGAGTATTAAAAAAGCACAGTTCTATTCTGCTTTTCAAGATAGGAAGCCCCTGTCATAGACCTTCAAGGTACAGATAAAAGAAAATGCTCTTTTCCCCAGCCAACTTTTGCAGAAGAGAATTGCTTTCCATTCTCCTTTCTAGGTTTTTGCTAACACAGAAGGAACTTTGAGAGTCATGAGCTTGCTTTCTTTGTTAGCAGCATTACTGCACCACAAAGTATCTTTCAGCAGACAATGGCAGAACAATGGAAGAACGTGGTTCACAGGAACTATTCCATTGAAAAATCACTTAGATCAGGCCTCCAGGAATGCTGAAAACAGGATCACCCTCCTCAGACTTATGGGAGTTCAAACAGATGAATAAACTGGCAAGAAGCTTTTCTAATGTGTAATGTAAATTACTCCATTCAAGTAACTTTCATAAAAAATACTCAAAGCTTAAATGCTATGCATAGTGATACAGACTACCACACAGATTTGTGTTGGTAAAAGGAACAAAGTAGAATAAAATGAAAAAACATATCCTGAAATTTTCAAAGACATGATAACTGCTCTGAATGAGCAGCTTTTTTTGTGCATGTTGTTATCCCTACGGTTGCAATAAAACGAAGTCCCCAGAAAAAAATCAAAACCTCAGCTGGAGTAGAAAATCTAACAGACTTAGTCATGCTGAGGATATGTTACCAAGTAATAATGTTAAAATATATCATCAGTAATATAATAAACTCCCCTGAAATATGTTTCTTTAATGATTAAATCCTTGACCAACTAAAGCTTAACTAGAAAACTATTTTCACTGAAAACTTTGTGATACTTGTGAAGAAAGAAGTAAACAGAAGAACAGCAAACTGCTCAGAATTTGCATAGATTTTATTTCCAGTCACTTAAAGCCTTTCTGTAGGGTCTTGAAGAATAAAGGGTTCTTTAGTCCTCAATATACTTTTCATTTTAAGCTGAGGATACATTAGACACTTCCTTTGTTGTACTGAATTTCTGGGAAGCTAATACCTGTTTTATCAGGCAGAGCAGCAAATAAGTGAGAGCAATTATGCTGATGCTTCTAATTTTTTCCTAACTTTGCCTGTCAACTGTGTCATTCCACCAGATTTAAGTGTGAGTCTGGTCTGAAAATGGCACTGAAACTCTCAGAGGAAAATCCTTGCCTGCTTTTGAGAGACCTTGAAGCAAAGCTGTGCCCAAATGAAGGCTGCAATTCCAGACTCCATTAATATTAAGAACCACTTATCAGATCCTGTAAAGCTTTATTGCCTTCCACCTGGCCTAGATTACTTTGATCCTTGAGCACACCATGCTACAGAGGACAGCACCACAACCCCTTCCTGCCTGGCAGAGCTGCTCCAGGTCCCGCAGTGAAGCGGGAAGTGCCATGCTGCCATCTGCAGTCAGGATACCCACCCTCCCTGCTTGACTGCCTCACAGCCAACGTTCCTTTTCCTATTATTCTCATCCTTATCACTGAGGAATCTCAAATTGTTTACTTTACAATGCCTCGACCGAACATGAACTCTCAAAGTTTTAGCCCTTGCAGAAGGGCTTATTTTGCAGCACTTTGAGCTAGAGTTATAGGAATGGCGAAGTGAGAAGGAGGAAGAAAGCACCTTAAAATTCCATTACCTGTCTGGTGTGTATGGGGCCTGGGGTCTTGAAGCCTCCTTGACAGCTGCATTCAGAAACACTGTAAGGGTCCGAGCTGCTTGATGAGCACTTGGAAAGCGAGTCACAGCCCACCACAAAGGTGTTATCTAGAGGCAATTCCTGAATGACATGGTGCTTCTTGGGGGGTACAGGAGTCTCAGGTTTAATTTGAAAGGTAGGCTGTGGAGAAGCAGACTTGTAGTGCTTTGCTAAATCTGGGCTATCAGGCTTAAATGTGGTTGGTGTGGTGGCCCAATTATATTTTCCCATAGTCTGTTCTTCTAGCTCTACAGGAATGTCTAAAGTGCCATTTATGTGCTCGTGTCCAGGATCATCAGGCTTGGATTCTTCAATAGTCACAAAGTTGAGGAGAAGACTCTTTGGAGAGCGCTTCTTCTTCTTCTTCTTTTTCTTGATCTGCCTATTCTCTTGGTTTGGGGAAACCCATTCACCACTCTGCTTGTTTTTCTGGACAACCTTGTGCCTGGGCGTCTGGCGGCAGCGGACTAAAGCAGTAACAAAAATTACCAGAATAACTGTCATAGTGCCTGCAATAATGGCAATGATGATCTTGACATAATCGTTGGTCTGGGGGGTTATCTCACCATCCCCAATGTTCTGGCCCACGGGAGTTTCCATGTTCCTGCGCACTAACTCTTGCACGTAGGAGCTGTTGGTGACCGACTCGTTCACAAACAGATGCACAAGAGCTATTGTGTAAAGAGACTCTGGCTGTCCCAGGTCATTGACTTTTATCACCAGTCTGTGCAAGCCATGATCTGATGTAATTACCTTCTCTTTCAAAGTAATATTGCCTGTTAATTGGTCAATTGTAAACAAGCCCCTGGAGTTCCCACCTATGATGCTATAGCGGAGCTCCGCGTTCATTCCCGTGTCATTATCAACTGCAAAGACTTTAGTAACTACAGACCCCGGGCTGGCTGATGTTGGAACCAACTCATAGGAATAATTGGATGAAGGAATAACAAAAACAGGCCTGTTATCATTTACATCAACAACATTGATGGTCACTTTGGCAGTTGAGGAACGCTGCAGTCTTCCTCCATCCACAGCTTTCACCTGGAAAGTATATGACCCCTGCTGTTCCCTATCAAAGGTAATATTAGGTCTTATTACACCAGTAAGTGGATCTATAATGAAATTATCTCTACCATTTAAGATAGAGAGAGTGACTGCAGCATTTTCTCCCGCATCAGCATCTGTAACTGTGATAAGCCCCACTGTGCCATACATGGGCAGGTTTTCTGGCACATAGAAATTATATTCATTATGTGTGAAAGCAGGGCTGTTATCATTCTGGTCCAGGACTGACACTGTCACGGTAGCATTGGTCTGCAAAGGTGGCATCCCATTATCCTTAGCCAGCACAGTGAAAGAGTACCTGTCTTGCTTTTCTCTGTCCAGCTTTCTCACTGCTGTCAGAATTCCTGTTCGGCGGTCAAGGTTGAAAATAGGGGGTGCATCTGAACCCAGGATGTAGCTGATCTCAGCATTCCGCCCACTGTCAGCATCTGTAGCACTAATCTTGGTCAGCTGAGTACCAGGAGCATTGTTCTCAGGGATGGAAAGGCCAATGATAGGCTGCGTAAAAACTGGGGCATTGTCATTCTCATCTTTAATTTTGATCAGAAGCATTGCAGACTGGTTTAAGGGAGGTTTCCCTGAATCTGAAGCCACTATTTTAATGGCATATTCCCGTGTTGCTTCATAGTCCAGAAATGTGGCTGTCTCCAGGAGAAACTGATTATCAAACACTGGCTTTAGCCTAAAAGGGACATCATGATCTGTAAAACAGGCAACTTTTCCATTCTGATCAGCGTCCTTGTCCATTACTGTTATCAATGCTATTTTTGTGTTAAGGGGAGCCTTCTCAGACAAAAGTACTGTCCCATTCACTGGATTGATGATGTATCTCGTGTCTATCGATGGGACATTGTCATTAATATCTGTGACATTAACAGTCACTGTTGCTCTTGATGGAGTTGAACTGCCATCACTTGCCAAAACAGTTAATTTGTGTACAGGAGATTCCTCCCTGTCCAGTGGTTCCCTTATAGTGATGAGGCCAGTGGTGTTATCGATGGCAAACAGCCTTTTGGCCAAAGTGGAGATCTGATTGCTGAAATAGAAGTGGATTTGTGCATTTGAGCCCAGGTCTGCATCAGTGGCGTGGAGCTGAGAAACAGAGGTGCCCACTGGAGCATTTTCGGGAACACTGACTTCGACGTCGTTCTCTTTGAACACCGGGCGGTTGTCGTTCACATCGGTCACTGTGACCTGCAGGATGGCAGTGCTGGACCTTGGAGGGCTTCCACCATCTTCCACTTTTATTTTCATCACATAGGTATCCTTCTGCTCCCTATCCAGGATCTGCTGGACAATCAGTTGAGGCCACTTATCTCCCTCGGGTGTCTCAGTTATATCAAGACCAAATACATTTTGACCCTGCAAGACACAGAAAGAACATACTTTAGCTTGACAGCATATTTAAATAGAAAAACATCTCATTATTGTTTCTGAAATTGTCATGGAATATATATTTACACATATACTCTGTACAGGAATATACATTTTTATAGTTACTTTTATTTTGCAATATCTGATTTTGCTTTAAGCTCCAGAGCTTTAAGAAAGCTTCAGAGCAAATATGGCAATAAACAGATACATTAGAAAAGGGGGGAAAGTGGAGGGGGGTGGGTCTGGGGTTTTTATGCAGTTTTTGTATTTCTACAGAAAAGCTATTAAATTCGTGGACAGATGCAATTCAGTTTCTCTATTGTATGAGTGAGTGTTGAGATGAGGAATGAAGCCACTGGAGGACCTACATCAACATTCAATTTCAAGGAAACCAACAAAGATAAAGGGACTGTTTCTCTGTGGAGCAAGTCTGGACATGATCTAAAACCATTAGCATAAAAAAATCCAACACCATCGTTGAAGGAGGACTTACTGCATAATTCAGGTGTTAGATGGCACAGGCAAAATGAAGGCATAACATTTTATTAGAAATATATTTAAAAACTCACTAAAACTATTTCTGTATTCATCATTGCATATTTTCTATTTGTTGTGAAAATTATAATCCCAGTGAGAAAAGAAGATTTATTTCTATTTCAAAACATGTCACAGACCTGTGAGATCAATTTGAAAATAATCAATATTTTTCATGGGGTTTGTTGAACATCTCTGGAATTGTGCCCAAATGCTACATATATTTAACATACATAGCTTTTTTTTAAAAACATTAGTGTTGACAAATCTGCTAAAATCAATATTGGAATCTAAACCGAAATTCCCTCTTCTTCTGTCTCTTCAGACAAACAGGAATTAAGAATATAAGAATTATCATTTCTTCTCACATCTCACCCTTCAGAGGAAGAAATGATGCAAAGGCAGTTTTCTAACCATCTTCCACAAGGACAGAGCTAGAATGCAAATTACTAAATCTGAATATAGGGATGACCAGAAAAAAGAAAGCATTGATAAAGTTATGGACTAATTAGGATTTTCTTTTTAGGTGTCATGTCTGTAATAATGAAAAAGCGAGCCCAGTCTGGTTCTTCTCTACTTATTGCGCTTGTCTTTCACCTTCACTCATGTGACTGTCATAGAATCATCTACAGCTTGGGCTGGAAAGATCATCTCATTCCAACTCCCTGCCACAGGCAGGGACACCTTCCACCAGACCAGGTTCAGTGCTTGGAGCAGTTGTGGTCTAAACACTTAAGAACAGAGCAAATGTTCCCAAGAGTGCAAGGTTCCTTATTTCTCATTACTTGTAAATGATTTGTATTCGCTGTATCTTGCTACCCACTATTAAAGTGGATGCATTTATAGCTTCTGCATACTCCTATGTGAGGATATACTCTGTCATTGATTTGTTTTCTCAAAGCCAGAATTTGACCCTACATGAATAATCATTTATTTCATGGGAAAGAACTATTCACCCACATATCAAAAACTGCTGTGCCACTTGCACAGTATTTGTGACAACACTAAGTTGCAACTAGGGACAGTATAAAGTGAACTGGAACACATTTTGAAGCATAAAAACAAATACAGCTTTGGCTGCTTTAGCAGAAGGCATGAAAATATAAGCCCTGCAAATTGTCTCTAAATCAACATATACATTTTGAACCAATTAGGATAAATTTTAGAATGGCAATTCTTATCTCCATGAAGGCAGAGCATGCATTTCCTCTTCATATTTAATCTGGCAAGCAGTTATTTACAATAAATTTCATAATTACTGAGAAATAATAAATTATATATTCTATGCTTTAACATAGATTCCGGGGGAAAAAAAGTAACAGAAGTCACAGTAAAAACAACCTGTCAGATCTCTTTTACTTCTTTATTTGTACACAAGTTGACAGATGGGCACTGATTATTCTGTCATTAGATCCTACAGCTACAACAAACACTTCATACAGACTTCCAATACATGTGGCCCTACATGTGAATACCCATCTCTGCTTTTCTTATCAAGTATGGGAAAGGTATTTTTCATTATGGCACATAAATTTGGTATAAAATATCATGCTTTAGTTCCCCATCACTAGCAATACATTACTGGAGAAACAAAAAGGAATGCAAAGATCTCTTCCAAGTTCATTATTAACACTTGAATAATTTTCTATGGAAGAAAATATTATCCATGTGTATTTCTTCCTATTCATTACAGGTTTACATACCTTTTTAAACCATAAAAAAATATTAAAGAGAAGTAGACTTTCTCTTAATGCCAGCAAGCTTATTTCACATTTTTTAAGGGATAATTTAACAAACACATTTTCTGAGAACAGATATTTCTCACATTCTGAACATTCAAAAAAATTTAAACATTCAAGAAATATATTTTTAAGATTATAAATATCTAATTCTCTCCATCCTGAGCAAAGAAATTAAGAGCTAAAACAAGAAACATGAAGAAAAACCTTCAGGATTAAATTCTTGATGTTGAAGTAAATGGCTTTATCTTCCTTAAAACCTTAGTGAAGTTAAAATTTCCATTAGGGTCAGATTTCTATTTGGACTGAACTGTACCTCAGTCACAACATTGTCCTAGGGATCTTAAGTATTTGTTCACACTGGGAAGGCTATGAGTCCATAGGAGAAGCAAAATATATAATTAACAGTTTGGCCATTAAAATGACTGGTAGAAATAATCTGCTACATCAATGTCTCCCGCACTACAGAAGGATAGGAGTGAGAAATAAAAAAGCTTTAAAGAGGCTCTGGCCCTGATCACAAGAATCTTCATCAGGGCAATAAGGATCTCTATTACCTTATTCCATTTTCATAACAACCTTTTCAGTGGATTTATACACACAGCCTCTCAGATAATGAAACCTACTTGTTGAACACTCCCTACCTGATCATTTGTAATGGATCCAAATGTCCTTTTCGGAGCTGTTTTGGGCTGTCATGTAAATAAAAAATTAGAGAGTATTTTAAAAACTGTAAAATTTAGGTAGTTTCATACACACATAATCAACGACACATGGACACTTAGTGTGACTGAAAACTACAAGAGCTTCTAATACTACAGACAGGACTGTATGTGACAAAGTGCACAACAAGTCTACACATAGATATATCACATTGTTTCATCACAGTGTTTTGTTAAATCGATGGGGTACTGACTACCTCGATGTTGTCAAGAAGAATGGGAAAAAAGACCAGCTTCTGGCTAATGCTGATAACAGTGACACGGTCTGCTGTGTTCAAAACACCGTATGAACTTAAACTTGCAGACCAGTAAGTTGATAGAATACAGTAATTTCTCAAAAAATAGGGAAGGGAAAGAACATTGTGATAAATAACCACACAAAACTGACTGTGATACAAAGCACTCAAATTAAGAAAGGCTACTAGTGAGTATTTCTTAAAACATACAAATGATGTAATTGTATATAATAATTATCCATTGTTAAATGACAAAGAGGAGAACAACACTGTCTTCAATCTTCATTCTAAAGAATATTCTGAAGTTTTAGAGAAAGACACAAGAGCAAAGACAGCTCATTGTTTTGTGTCTACAGCTTCACTCTGTACTTATTATCAATACTTCTCTTCACGTACTGTAAACGACAAACACATCTTATGATGTATGTCTTTAGTTCAACTGAATCTTAAACAGAAGGGAAGGGCCAGACAACATGCAAATCTCAAACTTTTACTAATGTTCTGTGAATTTCAATGAATATTACAACAACCTAAAAGTACACATTTATTACATGGCAACAGTATTCTTCAAAGAAAAAAAAAGGAAGAAAAAGATTAAAATATCAGCTTCTTAATAGAAGGTAAATCAGTAATGTATTGAAGTAACTACTTAATAAAAACACCTTTAAAAAAAAAAAAAAACATGTAGTTTTGTGTTCAAAGGACCCTAAAATCTTTCCAGAAAGTCCAGATAATAATGCATGCTTGCTAGTTATTTCAATGTGCAACACAGAAAACCTTTGCAGGTCTTCTACAAAACTACAAGATAGGTCCCAGACACTTTCTCCTTGTCTGTTTTTGTCAAGTCATGTGGAACTGCTCTGTAACTGTGCTGTTATATTAGAAAAGAAGAAACTATAGCAGCACAATTTCAGTTCTTAATGCAGAAAACCGGCCCAGTTGTACGGTGGACAACATTTTTAATAAGAGCTGAAAATTAAACTTGCAATTTTCTTTCAAAGGTAATACTTTGGATGTGAAACTGTGAATTCCTAAAGCCAAGTTAAAGCCTTAAGCACAAAATGTTCTACATGACAGGCAATAATGGATCTATGTTTCTATAACAGGTGCATATTAATTCACTAAAATCAAAACTATTGTGCTGTAGCTCTAATAAAGGTTCTTTGTCTTCTGTTACTTACACAGTGTGTAATTTACTGTCCATGTTGGACAGTAGGATATCATACTACTAGCACCGTCTATACCATAACTTGGTTCTTTTCTGTCTCCAATTATATAAGAGCCTCCATAAATGTAAAACATTGCCAAAGATCTCCTCTCCATGTACACAACCACACACAAAACTGTACTTGTCCTATGAAGTAAGCAGCAAGAAAAATGCTGTAGATAGGATCAATAGAACACAAGGATAATAATGAACCATTTCATGCTGGAAAGGAACAGTAAAAAGTACAACATGGGATGAAGAAGCAGACAATCAATGCGTCTAACGCTGATTTTCTGAAAAAGAAGAAAAAAGAGCTATGGAGTTTACCTACACAGGAAATTACTTCCTTATGCTATTGTAACAAAACTTAAACAGTTCTAACAATTACATTGCTCCTTAAGCCTTAAAGACGATTTGACTCATTCTGCGAAGAGTCCCTTTGAATCGTCAAACACTGTGAAATTTATTTTCTAAGACAGACAGATGTAAGCTAGAGATATTTTTTTTTCTAAGGTGGAATATTTTTGCATCCTACTTGATTTCTGACATTCAGTTGTGCAACATGTTTATTCGATTGTGTTCATCTTCACTGAGGAAAAACAATTAGAGACAAGGAATACTATATTTTTAATATATTTACCTTTTGCTGCCCTAATTTCTCCAGTCTACACTTAAACAAGCCTGAAAGTCCATACTTTAAAAGTGTTAATATTTTTAATCTCAAAGTTTTACAAGGAGGAGAACAGGAAGAGCTGGAAAGTGACAACACACATACATTTCACATTTTCAAGACACCACCAAGTTTCATGGCTAACTCTCCTTCCATATTGCAACTCTGGTCTCTGAAATGTTGTTTCAGGGTGGGGTGGGTTTTTATAATGAAATCTAATTTCTCTTTAGAAAAATGGATTGTAATTAAAAACAAACAAACAAACAAAATCCAAAACCTAAAGCAAAACATAAACCTGAAGCTTCTCTTTTAATAAAAATTAATTTCATCCACCTCTGAAAACTATTGTACCAGTAATGGTGTATCCACATTACTGCAACAACATGACACAAAATTACCAAGATAACTGCTTTCCAAAAAACTGGAACATTCTTGAGTAGTCTTGCACAATGCACTGTAGACATATAATTATATATTTCAGAAAAATACGCAGATGCACCTCAAAACTTTAAGGAATTTATGTTCACAATACTCTTGCTATATAAACAGGAAGAGTACACTCACTAAAGATGGGAAACTGAAGTACAGAGACATTTCATTGACTGTCCAAGGCTTGAAGCTTGTCTGAAAAAGGCAGTCACTTCTGAATTACCAGTCATGTTTAAAGTTAAATTTTAGAACTTTAAAGTTTGGAAACTAAACTTTAGAGTTTTAAACTTCAAGCAAAGTTCTCTTATTTAGAGATACTTTTACCAAAACAAGAGAGGTCAATAGCTTATGGTAACAACTAGGGAGGTAACCTCCCCTCTTAATCTCCTCTATTATAGTTGCTCAGAAATGCTCACAGACATTCTATTGAACAAAAACCTACATTTTCAATAAACCTGAGGGGACACAGATTCAGGTATGAAATATGTTTCAGCTTTGCTCTGAATTCCCATGACAAAGCTTCAGATACCTGACTTGCCCTTCAATATGTTTCTGTCTTTGGAGTCCCACTATAGATCCATAATGAAGAAAGAAAAAATCAGGATTGACACGAGGCAACAATATATTCACGAAGTGAATTTTGATATTTGCATTATATCTGTGTGAGAACTACATATTTGCTTAATTTCCTAGCTGAGAACAGCAACAGGCACAGAACTGAGTGTCTCTGAAAAAGAGAAATAAATGAGCACAAGTCTCTAACGCAGCACTGTGCCTTTGGAGGGAAGCACTAACAATTCTGTATTGCTGTTCACAACAGCTCCTAAATCACAACCTCATTTGGCCTCGACAGCCAAACAAGGTCTCTGAGGCTCCCAGTGGCACATTTTGGAGCTCTCAGGCGGACACTGCCAGGGTGTTGGTGCGCTGTGAACCTGCAGTGCCCTCCTGCTCACTACCTGCTCTATGAGCACATCAGGACTTTCAGGCAGAAGGAGATGAAAACTGACAGCCACTTGTACACAGGAAAATAGAAACAACTGAGGCATTTCTGGAAATTCCTTTACCCTGAAGCAGAGACTGTCTGGCATCCTCAGCTTCCAATAATTTCAGCGGAAACTGGGTGTGATAGATACAAATGGATTTGGCTTGTGACAAACAGAAAAACAAAAACTAGGAGACTGGAAACCCTTGCCCTTTGTTAAAAAGGAGTATAAATATTTGCAAATCAACATTCATTTAATTAATGTACAGTTACTCTCTTATTCTCTCTCATACACACACACACACACACATTCAGCTGAGCTGTTTGATATCTTTAAATCCATGGTATCCTAAACAAGACAAATCCATACCCCAACCTCTGATGCTGTAGCTTTTTCATGAGGTTATTTAACAAGATTGTCTTATTTGATGTAAGGCCCTTCGAAAGCTAAAGTTCAGCTTTGGGCTAAAGCACTGTATCTTCCCTTTATGTTTACACTTTTAGGAAAAAATGTTGACAAAACTTTCATAATGTGCATGTCTCACTGTTTTATGGATGTTGACATTAAAAAATCCACAGCCTTAGCGCAGAAGATTCACTATTCATCTGGACAAAAATGCAACAGCATGAGGAAAAAAATTCTAGTAGGAAAGAGTTTACATCTTCCATACGGAGTAGATTTCCCCCAGCTTCCTCAAATAGGCTTTAGGAATTCTACACCTGTCCCAAATACTGCTGAAGTGACCCAACCATAAGCCTCTTCCAAGGCCTCCACTCCTCAGGGCTTTGTAAAACCCAAAATAAGAAAAAGTGTGTCTCTGTGTGTGTGTGTGTGTGTGTGTGTGTGACGTTTAACTTCTGTGGGATCAGTTTTGCTTTTGAAAGAAATAAAGCTATACTTTTCCAAGGAATGAAAACTTATCCTTTTTTTATTACTCTTAGAAAATAACAGTGAAACTACCATATTAAACTGCAAAAGCATGTGACATAAGTGCAAGATGCCACTTCACTGCACATTGGAAGATAATAAATAATACTGCAATTTCAGAGTAATAAATCAGAGACAGTTGCTGAGAAGACATATAGAGAGACACTAAATACTAAAAATAGTCCCAGGGACATTGAATTTTAAAACTCATTAAATAAAAGTCTTTTCACCACAGTGATCAAGGAATGTAGGGGATAAACCAAAGAAGTATTTTCTGGAGCTGGATTTATCAGGAAGACAACTTGACTTCTCCCTCCTCCAATGTTACTAACTCTGATTTATCTGAATCACTGGAACTGAAGCAAGATAAAAAGGAAGAAACATTTCCTTACTGTAAGGCAATAACTCGAGTCTGAAAGTCAATTTGGAAAAGAAATCTCATGCTACCTGTGTGTATTGAAAGTTCTGGTAAATAAATTGTCATGACTTGCTCATTAATGATTTATATTCCAGGA